CATTCGTATCTGAAACAAATGCCTTTTTTGCAGCAATACGGGATCGAATTCCATAATCATGTAATACATTTTTAGCATATGTTACCCTAATTTATTGTGTTTGTATCTTGTGTACATGTACTATGATACGCTATTGCAGAAACCAGTTTTTTCTGGTTTTATCCTTTTTTGGCAGTTTTTTCCCTAGAATATCCGAATAATTTAGACATCATAACGATAACGGGAAGTTTCTTTTTAACTTTCAATTCAAACTTCAGTGAAAAATGACGAATTCGAGTAGTGATATTCGTGTTGTGGTAGGAATTGGTATGTAAGAAACGATATACTTTTGACCAACAATTAATGTCTTTAATTCTCTCTCGTAAATAGATTTTGGAACAACTTATTCAGGTATATACGCATACATATATACAATTAAATTCGATACAAGAAAGTTGAGCTCAAAATTGCTCTATAATAAATTTACTCGATATAAGAAAGTTACTAATAAACTCTTAGTATAAGTTTTGTAATTTTTCACTATGGACTCGAACACCTTTCTTATATAAATGATTGGATTCTAAATAAATTCGACAAAATAATTTTAGGCTTTGCTTACGCGAATGTGAAAACACCTAATAAAATAGAGACTAACGATACTTGGTAAGTACTAATTGGCTATTATTATAAGTTAACAAGTTATACTATATTGATATTAAATTTGGAAAAAAGGTCCGAAAAGAAAGGCGAATTTAAAACAAATACGGTGATTCGATATGACAATATGTTCAATGTTGTCAAATGGGGTTTACCTGCTTTGGCCGAAAAGATTTCCAGAAAGGGTGAAAAGTCAAAATTTGAAGAAGCTCAGATTGCTGAGTTATTCAAACTTCATCTTGGTGAAATTGCTGATGAAGAAAAGCCAAAGTTACCTTTAGGCTTAGATCCCAGAAAAGCGATAACTGATTATTTGCGTGAAATTGGAAAGGTATTTTTTTAGCAAAATATGTAAATATGAAAATTTGAATCTAATAAAAATTTTATCAAAATAAAGCTTATGAAGACCAGAATAACTGATCGATGGCCAGGATTAATTTACTTTAAACATGTTCGAGTTGTTCTCACTGTGCCTGTTGAATATGACGAGAAAGCTCGCGCCATCATGCGACAATGTGCCTACGATGCTGAACTTATACTTACACTTGAATCAGAAAATTTAGAATTTACTACTGAACGTACGTGTATGAAAATACGAGCGAATACCAAAAATCTGATATTAAAGCACAATCTTTTGTATTCATTTAGCGGAAGCTGCTGCAATATATTGTCTTGAAAATATAAGTGAACATCCGTTGAAAGAAGGAGGTGAGATAAATTTTTATTCTTTATATATGTTGAATTTGATACTAAATTTTTCTTGTCTGCAGATTCATTTATGCTTGTTGATTGTGGCGGCGGCACGATAGATTTGACAGTTCGTACTATTCTCCCTAATTCGAAATTAAGCGAACTCACAGAAAGCACTGGTGATTTTTGCGGCTCCACGTATATCGATAAGGAATTCAAAAATTTTATTGGCACCAAAGTCGGAAAATCAGCTCTTAAATTGATGGAGGATAAACATTATCCTCAGCTCCAATATTTGATTCAATATTTCTGCACGTATGTAAAGCTTCCGTTCGATGGCAATGAAAGAAACTGGCGGAATAAAGAAATTGATCTTGAAGAGGTTTGTGCTGTTCTCTTGCAATACGTCAAAGGCGAAGAAAGAGAAGAGTTAGAAGAATGTGAATGGCTTATCGAATTAGACTTCCAGAGGGTTAGAAATTTCTTTGACCAAGTCATAGGAAAAGTTTTAAAGCTAATTCGTCAACAACTGACCAAGTCGAAAAAGAATATTTCCGCAATCTTTTTAGTTGGAGGGTTTTCTGAATCCAAGTATCTATTACATCGTGTTCGACAGGAATTTCATCGCCAAGTCTCGTATATTTCAGTCCCGTCTTACCCAGTTACCAGTGTTGTCAAAGGAGCCGTTACATATGGTAATATTTACTTATAATTTAATAATTAATTTTTATATATGACAAGTTCATTCCATTTTCTATTTAGGTCTGAGAATGGATACAATTAAAGCACGTGTACTTAAAAAAACTTACGGGATCGAGCTTTACCGCGATTGGACTCTCAATGATCCAATCGAAGGAATGAAAATTATAGATGGTCAAGAGAAAATTTTAGCTTTTATGAGATTAGCTAAAAAAGGGACTGAGGTTGATGTAGACCAAGAATTCAAACAGATAGCTTATCCGACACACGAACAGTCTGAGTGTAGTTTCAAGATCTACAAAATTAATGCTGATGATGGAAAATACTGTGATGACCCAGGAATGAGTCTTTTTGGAAGACTTGATTTGGTGAGCACCCAGCAACTTTATAATATAGTAATTTTAAATTCATATTAACGTTAACTTATTATCATTATTACCAAGGAAATTCCTGATGTTTATCTTGGCAAGGATCGTCCAATGGAGTTCACTTTGACTTTTGGTAAAATGGAAACGCGTGCTTTTGCGAAAGCGCTCAAATCGGGAAAAACGGCTCAGGCAACTTTTAATTTAGAGTTATAATTGTACATATGGAATATATGGGAAAATTATAGAACTGATTATTATCGTTAAATTAATTCGAATACTAGATACATGTATCATCAAAAATCGTAAACTGCCGACATTTTTAGTCTCATGTATATCGCTATGATTTTGATTAGGGACGTAAAAAATGTTCTAGTTTAATACCTAGTCCCACAATTTTTTATGTGTTACATTAAAGCCTACCACTAATTTTGTACATGTATATTGCTAATTAAAATATAACAACATAAAACGATCTTTTACATCATGCTCTACAATTCTATGTTTAGTTTTTGTTTAAAAAATAATTTTACATCCAATTTTATGAAATCTTCTTTAAAAACTTGTTTTATATCAAATAATTATTTCTACTTTGTTGAAAACTTCAATTAGAAGATTGTAGATTTTTTGCAGATTAGAATATTTATTTAATATCTTATGTAAAGACAAAAGAGTAAAAATTTATATCAAATAGATAATATAAGGTAGGGGAGGGTATTATGACGCAGACGCACCAAATAATTTAAAGATAATGCTTAATAAAACAATCAGAATTGAATAATTTTTGTACCATTCATACCGTTACGTATATCATCTGATTCCAATCATTGAATCACAAGATATCATTATTAAAGTGAACTTTTTTTTGTTTGTTCGATATCTAGAGCCTGTGCCGATATCTACAGATATCGTTGACTACGTTGATTTTTTGGGGAAAGAGAGAGTCTATGTGGTTCAGGTGAGTGTTCGGGGGTTCTTTTATTGTTGCTTTTTATAGGGAAAAGCCTTAAACTCTTAAAAATAATGACGATAATAATGAATACACGAAAACGGTTTTTCATTAACAATGCGATTCTACGCGAAACAATGCCTTTTCTGGTACAAAGGACCTAACCAACAATCGATATAACGATTAGTATGGGGGAAATGGGGGAAAGATTTTACAAGCAATAATTCGCTTTTAAGAATAGTTGTAGGCAAAGATTCAAGCTGTATTTTGCTTGGAGAAGAATTGTACGCAATTTTATTTCTGTTCTTTACTAGTAGCCCGTGGGTCATTCTTTTATACATTTTTTTGTGTGTTATTATTTTTATACTATCAAAGAAGGCATATCGTTTTACTAAAATAAAAATAAAAAAAAGTTTATAACGGATGCTCTATTATCCACAAACTGATGGAACCGCGCTGAAGATTGCTGAAAAATAATGATGAGACGCTGAAAAATAATAAGGAGACGCTAAAAAAAAGAATGCAAGGAGTGGCGCAATTCTGTGTCGCACATTAAAAAGGGAATTTGTTGTTTTTATTAGCATGGCATGTCGTCATGCTGAAAAATAACAAATTGCATTTGTTGACATTCGTGAGCAAATCTGCTGCTGTTTTGCTGAATAATCTACAGCAGTATTTGTTGATAATGCGGTGGGAAATAGCTGCTGAAGAGCTTACCGAATTGGAAAACTTGCGGTATTGTGGACGATCGCGATGGGAACTCGCTGTAGTGGTTGCTGTAAATTCTACCAGTTTTGGGAATCAGCGACGCTACACATACGCTGATTTGACATTATTGACATCCGTGACTCAATTTCCATCGATTATCCTTGAAGAACCGTAATCGAGAAAGTTTGTTTATCGGCGATAACAATACTTCTAGCGAAAGTAAAAATTGGCATTAATATTTTATATCACGTCGCGTGTCACAAAAAATTATTATACATCACGTGTTGTGTAATGTTTATCATCAAATTTACAAGTTTTTGCTTTCTAGTTTATTTAATTTTTCGATAGCTTTTCTTAAATAAATAATTCACAGTTTACAGTAATAAAGTTTGATTATTTTTTCGCAATTTAAATAGCAAATTTACTTAAATAAAAATTATCTAATCATTGATTTAGAATATTGGCTAAAACCAAAAGCAATCTATAAAGCCAAAGAAAGTGAACCTGCAAAAGTAAAATAAGCCTAAATAACTAAGACCAAATCAAAAATTCACAAACTTGACCAAACCAATTGTCTAAGTACTATCAAAGTACTTGTTAGCCCTGAACATCCTAGTATACGTACAACTGCTCAAAGATTTGAAGTTATAAAGGCAACTCTTAGACGTACAGTTAAAAATAATGATTTGTCCAAACGTTCTGGTCGTGAAACTGTCCTGAGTACCTATAAAGAAACACAACTAGTGGATTATTGCAAGAATATGCAAAAATTAGGATTTGAATTAACAAGATCGGGAATAAATCATTGTGTCATGGAGATCATGCACAGTAATAAATATAATTATCTATTTACCAATAAAGGATCCAGTAAAAATTGTGGTTACATTTTATGAAAGATCACCCAGATTTATTTTTTCACATACTCTAGATCTTGTTAAAAACACATGCACAAAGAGGAAACCTGACTATTATAAATAATCATTTTAAACTATATCAAATAATTCAAGAACACTCACTTATTCCAGATCATATTTGAAACATAAATAAGATTGAATTTGTTCTCTCTCCAAAATTCTTGCTGCAAAAGATACTCATTAGATTCATAAAGTTTTACATGACAATGTAAATAATCATATTTTTATTGCTCTAACAATTTCTGCTGCTGGTGAATATGTTTTCTCCATTAATCATTTATAAAGATGTTTGCATATTTCTAATAGATGAATTATAGAATAGCTGAAATAGTTATTACATATAAAAAAGTAATAATTTAAAAATATCACATTATAATTGTTAATTTATCACATATAATTATTTTTAAACTCTTTATTTTACTTAAATAGAAATAATTATTAACAATTATTATAATATAGAGTTTGTTAAACAATCAAATAATTTATTAAATGATTATTTTAAATTTATTTTCACAATTTTTATTATTCTCATATTTTATAACTTTAAATTTATCTTGTCTATTATAATAAAGAAAATTGAATTTAATCTCTAACTTTTTGTATTTTTGAATAATTATAATAATATAAAACAAAAAATTATAAATTAAATTTCTAAATATTATTATTTCTTTTATTATTTTTTTAAATTAAATAATAATAAATATAATAAATATTGTTTTATATAATATATAATATATAAAATATTATTTATGCAATATATATAATCTAGTTATATTAATAAATTTTTGATTAACTTTAAATTTTTTTATACTTTTACAAAATAGATATATCTAAAAAAAACTCTTTATATATTTATAAAATAGTTCATCAATTTCTAGTTTATGAAAGCTAATTTCAGTTTACTTAATTTTTCATATAATAATAATAGTTAAAGTTTATTATTTTTCATATATTACTATTAATTTGAGACAGAATATAAGTTACTAGCTGAGCAAAATTATCTATAACAATTAATTAAAAAATTCTGAAATCATTATGTGATGAAATTTGTAACTTGATATATAATATTTTTTTAGAAAGTTTACTTGATAACTCAAAAATATTACTATATATACTAAATATTTTTTTTAAAAATCAAAAGATAATTATCATTTTTATTTAAATTAAAAGATAATTATCATTTTTATTTAAATTAAAAGATAATTATATTTTTGTTTAAAGATTAAAAAATAATTATCAGTTTTATTAAATAATTATCATATATTCAAAATTTTTGAATTTGAAACTGTGATTAATAATTAAATATAATTAAGTTATATATACTATATATTATTATAAATTTAAGATATATTATAAGTTATATGATTATATTAATAATTATTTTTAATTGGTTAAACTTTATCATATAAAAATATATTATTATTTTTATATAAATTCTAATTAATATTATATATAATAACTTAAATAAAGGTAATCAAGTAACAGATATTTAATTAAAGGTATTTTATTTAAGTCATTAGTTGGACTAATTGCTATAACTTGCTCTTTTACAACTATAAGATCAGCTGTATTTATATCTAATATTTTTATGACTAAATTATTACAATTATATAAAAATGATAAATAATAGATACTATGTAAATTGTGATAATTATAGTAATTGTTGTAATAATGGTAATTACAGTAATTGTGATAATTATGGTAATTGTTGTAATAATGATAATTACAGTAATTGTGATAATTATCAAAATTATAAAAGTTATAGAAGTTATAAAAATTATGAAAATTATGTAGATTATGTAAATCATACAAATTATATGAATTATAAAAATTAATTAATAAATAATAAATCACATGTAAAATCATATATACAAATCACATGTTAAATATAAAAGTCACATGATTTCAAATTAATCCAATAAGAATATAATAAATTAAATAAATAATTAAATTAAATAAATTTAATTATTAAAAAATGTTAAATATAATAAAAGTGATTATCTATTATTAAAATAACTATATTATAGAATATTTGAATTATAATATTTTTCACTACTTTAAAAAATTGAGCTCCTGCAAAATTATATATTTAAATAATAAATAATTTAATATTAATTAAAAAAAATAAATAATTAATTAATTAATAATTAAATAAATAAATAAATAATAATCAACTAATAATTTGATGAAAATTATATGATAAAAATAAGGTAAAAATAAGTTTAGATTGTTCTAGTAAAATTTATAAAAATAAAAATAATAAAAAAATAATATAATAATTAATTAATTTAATAAATAAATAATAATTAAATAGTTATATAGGTGAAAATTATATCAAAAAAAATAAAGTCTAAACTGCTCTAATCATATATGTAGTTTAGTATCTTTGCCAAAATTTGCAAAGCCCAACCAACCAATAATAAAGAAAGTGAAATAAAATAAATAAAATTTTAAAATAATTATCTCAAATCTTAACCTGTAGCATAAATAATTTTTAGTTTTTATTATTCAGGTTAAACATTAAAGATAACACATCAAATAATAAATTTTGAATTGATATTTGAAAATAATGAATAAATATGGAATAATAAATAAATAATTAATTAAATATATGAATATCATAAATAATATCTTTATTTCAACAT